GGGCGGAAGCGGTAGGTGGGGGGGGGGGGGGGGGGGGGGGGTCGAACCTACGGGTGATACCATATCAAAAAGAAAACTGAATGATTGCATAGAGGGAGAGAACAAGGGTATATACCTAATAGTGTTGTACCCTCTAAGAGGTGACCCTATACAGTCTATACAAATATGAGTTATACACACCCCAAGGGCCAGAGTCAAGTCCTTTCACACACACCCCACCCCGCAACCTAAAAAATCCGGCTAAGTCCTAGCAGCCAGAGATAGTTCCCCCCAGCACATTTCTTCCCTACTCGCCTCGCAGCCCCAGAAATTCGACCAAGTCCCCACAGACAGACACATCCCTCCCACACCTCTTGCGACCCTGAAATTTCGGCCAAGTCCCCACAGCAAGAAATATCCCTCCCTCAGCTCCCGCAACCCGGAAAAATCGTCGAAGTCCCTTGCAGCCATAAAAAAAATCCTCCCACAAACCCCCGCAACCCGCAATCCTGCTTATTACCCGACTTTTGTGAAGTTCCTAAAAGGGGTAACAAGAAAATCATTCATCTGGCTGGCGATTTTTTTTAACTTTTTTTTTTCTGATTTCTCAGACGATGTGAAACTAACTCTAAAAAATCACACTGTCCATGGCTCAATTTAGGGAGTGTTGTTTTCCAACACGACACTTTCAGGCAACTTCGTGTCATTGCTGATTTTGCAGTCAAATTTGCCCGTCAATCACAATTTTGATACAAAGTGTCGTGACGGTGTATCGTGTACGAACAGGCCCTGAGGGGGAGAATTCGAAAAGGAGGGGAGGGGGAATCGAATTCAAGGGGGAAAGGGGGAGGGGAATCAAAACCGAGGGAAGGGGTGAAGCGAAATGGAGGGGAGGGGGGGGGGAGGAGGGAGGGGGGAACGAAATGGAGGGGAGGGGGGTGGGGGTTCGAAACGGAGGGGAGGCGTGGAAGCGAAACGGAGGGGAGGGGGGAAGTGAAACGGAGGGGAGGGGGGGGGGGGGGTGGGTTCGAAAATGGAGGGGGAGGGGAGAGGATCGCGCCCCGGTTGATCGATCTTGGACGTTTATCACTTGCAACCATCGAATGGTTAAAAAACGTCGAAAGTTCGCAATCGATCGTGACCGTCACATTTTTATAGAATTTCAGTTGACCAAACGGGCAGCTGTCGAGAATTTCGCCTAATAGAAACGACTGTTATTAGAATGCGGAATTTACTCTTAGTCGAATGCAACTTAAAAAAAAAAACTGAAATCCTCTCTCCTAGTTGCCAAATCAGTTTTTTTTTAACACGCCCCTAATGAAAAGGCATTTTTTTGCTAGGAAACTCTGATGAATCCACGTAAATTTTCTTGACGAAAAGCTGATGAATCATGGTACCCTAAAACCAGTCGTGGGGCCTGGTGTGAACTCTGGAAATATAAGATTTCAACTTGGGCGCAGGACTCTGAGTCGACATTCTAAACCCTGAGTATTTCAGACTCGTTGACTTTTGGACACTGAGATTTCAGAGTAGCGAAATTTCGAAAAATGGCCCTTCAGACTCGGGAATTTTTTGGGGGGGCAAAATCAGAGTGCCTTTTTTTTAAACGTCAGCCCTGCTCGGGACTGTTCCAGACCTTCTGACAGAACCGCTCGGCTTCTCCAGACCTTTCGGTTCGACCTTCGGGAGTTCTCCGGGCCTCGCTTCGTCACTTCGAGACCCTTCGATCCCCTTCCCGAACCTTACCATCGCAGGGTTAGACTAGCTCTAATGTTCCTATATCTTGGCTTGCCATTCCTTGTATCGTCATTCAATTGAGTGAACACTTCATTATTCATTTCCGCGCTACTCTGCTTATTCATTCATAACACCTGGTATTCAGAGCCACTTTCCTCGATCACCCGTTTTCGTGAGTTGATTTTTTTGGGGGGGGGGTAAGGTCCCTCACGTAAGCTTGCAAGGCGGTTGCTCGCGAATTAGATTGATTAATTCGCCCAACTACGATAGCGTTTGCGCTTGCCTGAGTACAGGCACACGACGGAATTCCCCCTGCCCCGGCGGAGCCAGGGCCTATTTTTGGATTTTTACTACTCTGAAATTTGGGAGTGGTTTTTTTCAGTACTCTAAAAATCAGAGTGACCCCCAATGTTTTCTCTGATTTTCCAGGGTTTTTTTTATCTCTAAAACATTTACACTGACAGTTCAGAGGGAATTTCTAAGTAACTCTCTGTTGACGAAAAAAAACAGCGAAATGCGCATTTGGGGAGAAAATGGCAATCTTGCAGCTGCACTTGCTGCTGCAGCGGCGGATGCTGCGGTGGGTGTTGCTGCTGGTCGGCCGGCCCCTGTTTTCGTGGCCGCCCAAATGGCTGCTGCCCTTGCCGTGATCACGATTGTTCCTGCAGTTGCGACTGCGCGCTGACGCGATTTCCAGCCGTCGATTGCTGCCCTTGTGGCCCTCCTCCCCATCCGTCCTCTCGCTTCGCCATTATTTGTGAAAGCGAGAGGTAACCTCCTCGCCCCTGCCACTGCAGAGAGCGCAAAAATATCGACTTTAACGAGCGGCCCCCATTACCAGAGCTCCAGCTACTAGGTCTCTCAGTACTGTCGAAGGCTGTAACGGCAGTGACAGTGGAGGTATGCGACGCTCGGGTGGACCGTAGCACGCTAGAGATGTCGCGAAACACAGAGCGATGCTTGGTAGCAACGGGTGGGATTTCCCGCAAACCTGGTGAAGGGCCCATGATGCAGAAGGGGAATCTTGCCCTCACAAACATCCCCGCAAGCAGATGTTGTGTAAATCTGGTGAAGGGCCCACGACGCCCTCACACAGTAAACAACCCATCTTGCTCGATCCCAGATTTGGTGAAGGGCCAATCAGCGCCCTCACACACCTTCCAGCACACATGGCAGGGTGATTTTGGTGAAGACCCAACCAGCCCCCTCACACACCCTCGAGCACGGACCGGTGATTTTGTCAGTGCGCGTGAAATGACACGTTCCGCGGGATACAGGGGTACGGCTAGGTACAGGGGGTTATATGAAAAATCGGCAGGTATCCCACCTATTCACTGACCCTCAAAGTGGTACAAAAGTTAACTCTGATAAATCAGAGTAAAATTGAAGTTCAAAATTTCTACTCAGGGCCCCTAGAGTAGTTTTAAAAATCGACTCTGATTTTCAGAGAACAGAGTAAATTACTCTGATAAAATAGGCCCTGGGCGGAGCATTCGCCAAATGGACCAAGCTCAGTTCAACGAGCTTCGGGAGCAGTTCAACGCCATGAACACACGCATGGCTACAGTGCTGGAGGACAACGAGCGACTTCGTGCGGAAGTTGCTGAATTACGCAAGGCGCGAGAGGATTCGCGTCAGAAATATGCCGCCCAAGAGGAGGTCGCCAGCACCGGACGTGTCGAAACCGTCTTGGATGAAATCGCACGTCAGGTGTCACAAGAGCGCAAGGACAGCGAAGCTGCCGCAGCAGCTGGCGTGGCAGCAGGACCAGCAGCCGAAGCAGCAACAGCAGCAGCCGCTCAGTCAGAAGCAGCCACACCGGCGTTTATGCCGATCGTGACGACAGCGACGATCAAACCGACAATGCCGCCCCCGTTCAACCCCACAGATAAGAATACTACTGTTACGGGCTGGTTTTTTTCGGCGGAACTTATTTTTAATGCCGCTGGGATCACTGCTGACGATTTAAAAATTCGACTGGCTGTATCACTACTACGGGGACCTGCGCTAGATTGGTGGCGATATACTCTACAGGAGGGGGAGTTTTTGGCAGGCGACACACAGGGGTTTTTCGGAAACTTTGGGTCTGCTGCCCAAGGGTCAACCGCGATTTTTGGATCGACCAAGATTCGCACGTGGAAGGCATGGGGTACAGCTCTGCATGAATGATTCGAGCCAATATCCGCCTCGGACAACGCACGCACGAAGCTGGACAACTGGCGCCAGTGGAGTTCTGTCCAGGATTACGCGTCAGTCTTCATGGCGTTATGCGACCAAATCACCGACATGCATGACTCCGAGAAGAAATCTCGACTCATTTCGGGTTTGAAGCAGGACATTAAATGCGAGGTCCGACTGCGACTGCCGGCGACGTTTCACGAAGCCGTCCGGATCGCAGATAACTTCGACGCGCATCGAACGTATGCGAGAGCGGGTTCCCGGGAGGGAAATCGTTTTCGTGGCCAGAATCCACGGCCCACGATTCACGGCGTAGTGGCGAAGGAGCACATGGACGATTTTCGCAAGGGACAATGTTTCAACTGCCACCAGCCGGGTCACCAATCTCACGATTGCCCCCGAAAGAAGCAGATAAAGAAGAACGACGAGGACAGGTCGGGAAACGCCAAGCGTCAGTAGCGGTCGGGCCCCCTACTGACCCTGCCTCATTGCCCGAAAAACACCATCCCCACCGGGTAGTGGTTCCGATACATGTTATCAACCGCTCCCGGCTGAATAAGGGGGATGAACCAGTGGACCACCCTGTATTGGCGGAGGGACGAGTCAACGGAAGAAAAGTCAAAATATTCATCGACGGAGGTGCGAGTCACGGCCTGATAAATCGAGAGACAGCACGACGACTACACATGACGCTGGAGCGGTGTCTACCCGAAATCGGCGCGCGATTGGTGGACGGCACCCCGCTGGCGATACGCGACAAAATACCCATCGTTCGAATGAAGTGCGGCGACGATTTTGGTTTCAGCGCGCCGATGTTGGCGACAACACTCGACGGCTACAATGTGCTATTGGGACGCGATTTGCTGCGGAGATTCAACCCGCAGATCGATTGGACGACAGGCGAGTGCACAGTGAAGTGCGAAAAAAGGCTGGCAAAAACTACCGACGTGGCCGGAAGCAGAGACGACCTCGACACGAGTCAACGCGGTGTGCCTCAAGCGAGCGGTCAAGGATGGAGCGGATTTATACGCCGTCCATCTCACAGAATCGACGGAGCAGAATGAGGCGACCAACATCAACAAACTCTGCGATTCGGTCCCGGATGACTTGCCAAGTGGATTGCCACCCGAACGACCCCAGGACCACAAGATTGAGCTGGAGCCCGGCGCGCAACCTACTGTACGAACACAATGGCGCCTGACTCAACCGGAGCTACAGGAACTACGGAACCAGCTGGACTACCTGTTGGCTAAAGGGTTCATTCGGCCGAGCACTTCACCGTTCGCAGCACCAATCCTGTTCACGCCAAAAAAGGACGGCGGCCTTCGCATGTGTACGGATTATCGTGCCCTTAATCGGGTAACGATAAAATCGCGCTACCCAATCCCACGCACGGACGAACTGATCGACAACCTTCGCGGAGCTCGTTACTTTTCGAGATCGACCTTCGTGGCGGTTACCATCAAATTCGGGTGTTCGCTGACGACTGCCACAAGACCGCGTTTCGTAGGGCCCAGGAGGGCGCGACGGGCTAGGAGGCGCGAGTGGGGCCCAGGAGGGCGCGACGGGCTAGGAGGCGCAATAGGGGCCCAGGAGGGGCGCGACGGGCTAGGAGGCGCGGCAGGGGCCCAGGGAGGGCGCGACGGGCTAGGAGGCGCGACAGGGGCCTAGGAGGGGCGCGACGGGCTAGGAGGCGCGAGTGGGGCCCAGGAGGGGGCGCTACGGGCCTAGGTGGGGGCGGCGCGACGGGGGCCCTAGGTGAAAGCGCGACGGGGCCTAGGAGGAACGGGCGGAAGCGGTAGGTGGGGGGGGGGGGGGGGGGGGGGTCGAACCTACGGGTCGATACCATATCAAAAAAGAAAACTGAATGATTGCATAGAGGAGAGAACAAGGGTATATACCTAATAGTGTTGTACCCTCTAAGAGGTGACCCTATACAGTCTATACAAATATGAGTTATACACACCCCAAGGGCCAGAGTCAAGTCCTTTCACACACCACCCCACCCCGCAACCTAGAAAAATCCGGCTAAGTCCTAGCAGCCAGAGATAGTTCCCCCCAGCACATTTCTTCCCTACTCGCCTCGCAGCCCCAGAAATTCGACCAAGTCCCCACAGACAGACACATCCCTCCCACACCTCTTGCGACCCTGAAATTTCGGCCAAGTCCCCACAGCAAGAAATATCCCTCCCTCAGCTCCGCAACCCGGAAAAATCGTCGAAGTCCCTTGCAGCCATAAAAAAATCCTCCCACAAACCCCCGCAACCCGCAATCCTGCTTATTACCCGACTTTTGTGAAGTTCCTAAAAGGGGTAACAAGAAAATCATTCATCTGGCTGGCGATTTTTTTTAACTTTTTTTTTTCTGATTTCTCAGACGATGTGAAACTAACTCTAAAAATCACACTGTCCATGGCTCAATTTAGGGAGTGTTGTTTTCCAACACGACACTTTCAGGCAACTTCGTGTCATTGCTGATTTTGCAGTCAAATTTGCCCGTCAATCACAATTTTGATACAAAGTGTCGTGACGGTGTATCGTGTACGAACAGGCCCTGAGGGGGAGAATTCGAAAAGGAGGGGAGGGGGAATCGAATTCGAGGGGGAAGGGGAGGGGAATCAAAACCGAGGGAAGGGGTGAAGCGAAATGGAGGGAGGGGGGGGGAGGAGGGAGGGGGAACGAAAACGGAGGGGAGGGGGGTGGGGGTTCGAAACGGAGGGAGGCGTGGAAGCGAAACGGAGGGGAGGGGGGAAGTGAAACGGAGGGGAGGGGGGGGGGGGGGTGGGTTCGAAAATGGAGGGGGAGGGGAGAGGATCGCGCCCGGTTGATCGATCTTGGACGTTAATCACTTGCAACCATCGAATGGTTAAAAAACGTCGAAAGTTCGCAATCGATCGTGACCGTCACATTTTTATAGAATTTCAGTTGACCAAACGGGCAGCTGTCGAGAATTTCGCCTAATAGAAACGACTGTTATTAGAATGCGGAATTTACTCTTAGTCGAATGCAAAAAAAAAAAACTGAAATCCTCTCTCCTAGTTGCCAAATCAGTTTTTTTTTTAACACGCCCCTAATGAAAAGGCATTTTTTTGCTAGGAAACTCTGATGAATCCACGTAAATTTTCTTGACGAAAAGCTGATGAATCATGGTACCCTAAAACCAGTCGTGGGGCCTGGTGTGAACTCTGGAAATATAAGATTTCAACTTGGCGCAGGACTCTGAGTCGACATTCTAAACCCTGAGTATTTCAGACTCGTTGACTTTTGGACACTGAGATTTCAGAGTAGCGAAATTTCGAAAAATGGCCCTTCAGACTCGGGAATTTTTTGGGGGGCAAAATCAGAGTGCCTTTTTTTTAAACGTCAGCCCTGCTCGGGACTGTTCCAGACCTTCTGACAGAACCGCTCGGCTTCTCCAGACCTTTCGGTTCGACCTTCGGGAGTTCTCCGGGCCTCGCTTCGTCACTTCGAGACCCTTCGATCCCCTTCCCAAACCTTACCATCGCAGGGTTAGACTAGCTCTAATGTTCCTATATCTTGGCTTGCCATTCCTTGTATCGTCATTCAATTGAGTGAACACTTCATTATTCATTTCCGCGCTACTCTGCTTGTTCATTCATAACACCTGGTATTCAGAGCCACTTTCCTCGATCACCCGTTTTCGTGAGTTGATTTTTTTGGGGGGGGGGTAAGGTCCCTCACGTAAGCTGCAAGGCGGTTGCTCGCGAATTAGATTGATTAATTCGCCCAACTACGATAGCGTTTGCGCTTGCCTGAGTACAGGCACACGACGGAATTCCCCCTGCCCCGGCGGAGCCAGGGCCTATTTTTGGATTTTTACTACTCTGAAATTTGGGAGTGGTTTTTTTCAGTACTCTAAAAATCAGAGTGACCCCCAATGTTTTCTCTGATTTTCCAGGGTTTTTTTTATCTCTAAAACATTTACACTGACAGTTCAGAGGGAATTTCTAAGTAACTCTCTGTTGACGAAAAAAAACAGCGAAATGCGCATTTGGGGAGAAAATGGCAATCTTGCAGCTGCACTTGCTGCTGCAGCGGCGGATGCTGCGGTGGGTGTTGCTGCTGGTCGGCCGGCCCCTGTTTTCGTGGCCGCCCAAATGGCTGCTGCCCTTGCCGTGATCACGATTGTTCCTGCAGTTGCGACTGCGCGCTGACGCGATTTCCAGCCGTCGATTGCTGCCCTTGTGGCCCTCCTCCCCATCCGTCCTCTCGCTTCGCCATTATTTGTGAAAGCGAGAGGTAACCTCCTCGCCCCTGCCACTGCAGAGAGCGCAAAAATATCGACTTTAACGAGCGGCCCCCATTACCAGAGCTCCAGCTACTAGGTCTCTCAGTACTGTCGAAGGCTGTAACGGCAGTGACAGTGGAGGTATGCGACGCTCGGGTGGACCGTAGCACGCTAGAGATGTCGCGAAACACAGAGCGATGCTTGGTAGCAACGGGTGGGATTTCCCGCAAACCTGGTGAAAGGCCCATGATGCAGAAGGGGAATCTTGCCCTCACAAACATCCCCGCAAGCAGATGTTGTGTAAATCTGGTGAAGGGCCCACGACGCCCTCACACAGTAAACAACCCATCTTGCTCGATCCCAGATTTGGTGAAGGGCCAATCAGCGCCCTCACACACCTTCCAGCACACATGGCAGGGTGATTTTGGTGAAGACCCAACCAGCCCCCTCACACACCCTCGAGCACGGACCGGTGATTTTGTCAGTGCGCGTGAAATGACACGTTCCCGGGATACAGGGGTACGGCTAGGTACAGGGGGTTATATGAAAAATCGGCAGGTATCCCACCTATTCACTGACCCTCAAAGTGGTACAAAAGTTAACTCTGATAAATCAGAGTAAAATTGAAGTTCAAAATTTCTACTCAGGGCCCCTAGAGTAGTTTTAAAAATCGACTCTGATTTTCAGAGAAACAAAGTAAATTACTCTGATAAAATAGGCCCTGGGCGGAGCATTCGCCAAATGGACCAAGCTCAGTTCAACGAGCTTCGGGAGCAGTTCAACGCCATGAACACACGCATGGCTACAGTGCTGAGGACAACGAGCGACTTCGTGCGGAAGTTGCTGAATTACGCAAGGCGCGAGAGGATTCGCGTCAGAAATATGCCGCCCAAGAGGAGGTCGCCAGCACCGGACGTGTCGAAACCGTCTTGGATGAAATCGCACGTCAGGTGTCACAAGAGCGCAAGGACAGCGAAGCTGCCGCAGCAGCTGGCGTGGCGCAGACCAGCAGCCGAGAGCAGCAACAGCAGCAGCCGCTCAGTCAGAAGCAGCCACACCGGCGTTTATGCCGATCGTGACGACAGCGACGATCAAACCGACAATGCCGCCCCCGTTCAACCCCATAGATAAGAATACTACTGTTACGGGCTGGTTTTTTCGGCGGAACTTATTTTAATGCCGCTGGGATCACTGCTGACGATTTAAAAATTCGACTGGCTGTATCACTACTACGGGACCTGCGCTAGATTGGTGGCGATATACTCTACAGGAGGGGGAGTTTTTGGCAGGCGACACACAGGGGTTTTTCGGAAACTTTGGGTCTGCTGCCCAAGGGTCAACCGCGATTTTTGGATCGACCAAGATTCGCACGTGGAAGGCATGGGGTACAGCTCTGCATGAATGATTCGAGCCATATCCGCCTCGGACAACGCACGCACGAAGCTGGACAACTGGCGCCAGTGGAGTTCTGTCCAGGATTACGCGTCAGTCTTCATGGCGTTATGCGACCAAATCACCGACATGCATGACTCCGAGAAGAAATCTCGACTCATTTCGGGTTTGAAGCAGGACATTAAATGCGAGGTCCGACTGCGACTGCCGGCGACGTTTCACGAAGCCGTCCGGATCGCAGATAACTTCGACGCGCATCGAACGTATGCGAGAGCGGGTTCCCGGAGGGAAATCGTTTTCGTGGCCAGAATCCACGGCCCACGATTCACGGCGTAGTGGCGAAGGAGCACATGGACGATTTTCGCAAGGGACAATGTTTCAACTGCCACCAGCCGGGTCACCAATCTCACGATTGCCCCCGAAAGAAGCAGATAAAGAAGAACGACGAGGACAGGTCGGGAAACGCCAAGCGTCAGTAGCGGTCGGGCCCCCTACTGACCCTGCCTCATGCCCGAAAACACCATCCCCACCGGGTAGTGGTTCCGATACATGTTATCAACCGCTCCCGGCTGAATAAGGGGATGAACCAGTGGACCACCCTGTATTGGCGGAGGGACGAGTCAACGGAAGAAAATCAAAATATTCATCGACGGAGGTGCGAGTCACAGCCTGATAAATCGAGAGACAGCACGACGACTACACCTGACGCTGGAGCGGTGTCTACCCGAAATCGGCGCGCGATTGGTGGACGGCACCCCGCTGGCGATACGCGACAAAATACCCGTCGTTCGAATGAAGTGCGCGACGATTTTGGTTTCAGCGCGCCGATGTTGGCGACAACACTCGACGGCTACAATGTGCTATTGGGACGCGATTGCTGCGGAGATTCAACCCGCAGATCGATTGGACGACAGGCGAGTGCACAGTGAAGTGCGAAAAAGGCTGGCAAAAACTACCGACGTGGCCGGAAGCAGAGACGACCTCGACACGAGTCAACGCGGTGTGCCTCAAGCGAGCGGTCAAGAATGGAGCGGATTTATACGCCGTCCATCTCACAGAATCGACGGAGCAGAATGAGGCGACCAACATCAACAAACTCTGCGATTCGGTCCCGGATGACTTGCCAAGTGGATTGCCACCCGAACGACCCCAGGACCACAAGATCGAGCTGGAGCCCGGCGCGCAACCTACTGTACGAACACAATGGCGCCTGACTCAACCGGAGCTACAGGAACTACGGAACCAGCTGGACTACCTGTGGCGAAAGGGTTCATTCGGCCGAGCACGTCACCGTTCGCAGCACCCGATCCTGTTCACGCCAAAAAAGGACGGCGGACTTCGCATGTGTACGGATTATCGTGCCCTTAATCGGGTAACGATAAAATCGCGCTACCCAATACCCCACACGGACGAACTGATCGACAACCTTCGCGGAGCTCGCTACTTTTCGAAGATCGACCTTCGTGGCGGTTACCATCAAATTCGGGTGTTCGCTGACGACTGCCACAAGACCGCGTTTCGTACTCGCTATGGGAGTTACGAATACACGGTGATGCCGTTTGGATTAACGAACGCCCCCTCGACGTTCCAACTCACCATGAACGGGGTGTTCCGCGATCTACTCGACAAATGCGTGATAATTTACCTGGACGACATCCTGATCTACAGCAAGACCCGGGAGCAGCATTTAAAGATTTGGAAGCGTTTTTCAGCGGTTGCAGCAGCATCGACTCATCACCAAGGGCTCCAAGTGCGAGTTTTTAAAACAAGAACTGGAGTTCCTGGGGCACGTGATCTCCACGGAGGGATTCGAATAGACCCGAAAAAACTCGGGCTATTCAGGAGTGGAAACCGCCACAAATCTGCAGCAGCTGCAATCATTTTTGGGTTTCGTGAATTACGTGGCGTTTATACCCAACATGGCGGGGTTAACTGGACCTCTAACCGACCTACTGCAGAAGGGACTTTTTACGAGTGGGGGGAGAAGCAGCAAGCTGCGTTCGAGGCATTAAAAAATCTTTTAATGTCGCCACCGGTACTTCGCATCGCTGACCCGGAACGGCCCTTCGAAGTCATCACCGACGCAAGTGACATCGCCATCGGAGCAGTGCTCATGCAGGATTTCGGCAACGGGCTTCAACCAATCGCGTACGAGTCTCGGAAAATGCAATCTGCTGAGCGCAACTACCCGGTACACGACAAGGAGATGCTGGCGATCGTCCACGCGTTCAAAATCTGGAGGTGCTACCTGACTGGAGCAGACGTGACGGTGCGAACCGATCACAAATCACTACAGTACCTGGGCGCAGCCGAATCTCAACCCGCGGCAGATACGCTGGCTGGACTATCTGGAGTCCAACTTCACGTACAAGATCACGTACAAAAAAGGCGCCAACAATATTGCCGACGCCCTTTCCAGACCATCTGCCCAACTCGCAGCAGTACTAGTCGCCCAGAGCAACCCGCTACTGAGTGGACTATTTACCCACGGGTATTCGACTGACCCCTTCTTCGTAAATGACGGCCATCTCCCAATCACTACACGGAAAGGCGTCTATTACTTACGAAGCGGAACTGATCGAATTTGGGTCCCAAGTTATCGTCTACTTCGCGAATTACTAATTCAAGAAGTCCACGATTCGAATTTATCGGGACATTTCGGGGTTGATAAAACTCTGAAGGCGTTGCAGCGGTTTTATTACTGGCCAGATATGGTGACGGACGTGCAGCGTTACGTGGCCGCGTGTCCGATCTGCCAGCGAATGAAATCCTCACACCAGCGACCTACAGGACTGTTGCAGCCCCTCGAGCCACCTCAACGCCCATGGCAACACGTAACGATGGATTTCGTTACGGGACTACCGGCCGGACCCAGCGGAAACGACGCAGTGTTGGTTGTCGTCGACCGATTGACGAAAATGGCGCATTTCGCACCATGTCGTACAACCATCACAGCCGAAGAAACAGCGCGCCTGTTCATCTCGACCGTCGTTCGCCTACACGGGATACCAGCAGCAATCATTAGCGATCGAGATCCGAAGTTCACGTCAAAATTCTGGCAGGACACGTGGGCTCGGTACGGCACGCGTCTACAGTTCTCATCCGCGTATCATCCCCAAACGGACGGCCAGACGGAAAGGACAAATCAAACGATGGAGCAGCTGATTCGGACAAACTGCCCCGACCGAAAAAATGGGAGGACGTGCTGCCCATGTTGGAATTTTCCTACAACAACGCGCCCTCAGCTACGACTAATCACTCCCCGTTTTATCTCAATTATCTCCACCAACGTTGAGAGTCAAGTACCACGATCGCAGCAGTTCGTCGAAGAATTACAGACTGCCCGAGACAAAGCTGTCGAACTTATTCGCAAGGCGAACGCAACTGCCCGACGGTATGCGGATTTACATCGACGGGATATTACGATGACGATAGGGCAACTAGTCCTTCTGGACACCAAGAATTTACGACTACCACTACCGACGAAATTACGACCACGTTTCTGTGGCCCATTCAAGATCATGAAGATGGTGACGCCGGTGACCGCCCAGTTGCGCCTACCTGATGACTGGCGTATTCACAACAAATTCCATGTGAGCCTGTTGCGACCCTTCGTTCCTGACACGTCGGACATCGCCCGACAGCGATTGGTCCCCGACGTACGGCCACCAGCCGAGACAACCATCGAGCCTTCGAAGATCTTGAGCCATCGGATTCGTATCGACGGTCACGGATGACACGTTGACTTTCTGATACGATGGACCAATCGTCAGTGAGGACGACACGTGGGTGCCCTCGGACCAGATACAGTCACCTTCGATACTTGCGAATATTTGGACCGCAAGCACGTGGCTGATATAGATCACCTTCGCTAAGGGGGGGGTGGTGTAAGGAATTTTCCATTCCTTACCGAGCGGTACTGCTATCGCGTACGCTCAAACACACCTGAAGCCTCGGGACTGTTCCAGACCTTCTGACAGAACCGCCTCGGCTTCTCCATATTCGGTTCGACCTTCGGGAGTTCTCCGGGCCTCGCGTCGTCACTTCGAGACCCTTCGATCTCCTTCCCGAACCTTACCATCGCAGGGTTAGACTAGCTCTGGTGTTCCTATATCTTGGCTTGCCATTCCTTGTATCGTCAGTCAATGATGCAGGTGAACACTTCATTATTCATTTCCGCGCTACTCTGCTTGTTCTATGGCTAGGCTGAGTTAGAATCTTCATACCTTTTAACCGAGGCTTGTCACTCTGTTCAAGTCTGCCACAAGCGAGACTTCGCAGGAAAATCACAGGAATGCCATGCTCCCTTGAGCTGCCCCTGCCCCCACTTCCCGCAGACCAGCACAGCAGTGACCGTACGATGTTCATCGAACAAAGACACATCGCCCAACGAAATGCGTCTCCGTACGTACGAACTGCCACAACCCCGGCTGAACCAGCGACACGTCAGCAGCAGCGAACCCGACATGAACCACACTCTGAACCCACGCACGCGCCGCGTCCACCACCACCTCGATGTTGGCTGGCTTCCTTCCTCCCCAGAGTCTGTTTTCCCGCCATTTTCTCCCCAGCCAGCCTAGCAGGGTGCAGTCTACTGTGCAGTATCACCTCGCGCAGCCAAACAGCCAGATTTACCTCGGAGTTGCGAATTTATATTCCACCAGAGCCAGAGCGAGGTTCTGCTTGGGCAAGCTTACTTCTGTATTGTACCCCCCCCCGCCCCCGTATTCCCCTCGTGACTGCTCTTTGTGTTCGATCCCATATTAGAACCGCCGTCGGCTAGCATCTTGTGCTGTAGTGCGGCTTCCCCCGCGCCGGAAAATGGGTCTCCGCGGTCCGACGACGTACGACGCCGAGCCCACGCGGCGTCCCGACATGATCGTTAACTACCAGGTTCGCCCACCGACGTCTCACGCGTTCCGGCCACTCATTTATTTTTCGATGACGCTGTCAGGGATCTATCGTTCCAGGTCGCGACTGGACGCGACAGGATGCGATGGTTCTGCTCGCGATTCGCGAATCAGATCCACAATCCTGGATGATTCGCTGCGTAGCCTATATTCTCGCTCCTGATTTCCCGAGCTGGACGCTCCTTGCTTCGCTTCAGCTTCGCTCTTATAGGTCTCAGTGACCGACATGCATCTCCTGGCTCTTTTTCACCCGAGCACCTCTGCTCTCCCCCTGCTTCCCTCCCACCGCCCCACGCTCGTACCTGATCACTCGTTTTTCCCTACGGCCCCGCCACAGGCGCCGTACAACGCGGAGACGCCCCCTCGCTGCTGGGGACGGCGTTCGTGACGGGCGCGGATGCGTTCTACGTGCGCAGCCACGGCCCACGCCCGTGCTGGACGACGCCGCCAGGTGGGATGCCAGCCGCGCTGCCACGTGGATGCCAGGCGCCCTTTGATTACTCTACGGTCGTGCTGCTGCTGCTGCTGATGGTGCTGATGGTGCTGATGGTGCTGATGGTGCTGGAGGGAGTGGGAGGGAGGGTGGGGGTGGGGATGGGGGTGGGGGAAGGAAGGGCTAGTCGGCTTTCAAGCTTTGCCAGAGTAGTCTGTGCTTATTCAGGATATTTGAGGTGACATAGATGCTCATGGCTGCCCGTGTGCATGTGTTAACGTATTCATCTGTGCATGCGTGCATGCGTGCATGTGTGCCTGTGTGCATGCGTGCCTGTGTGCATGGGTGCATTGTGCATGGTTGTATGTGTGCATGGGTGCATGCGTGCATGCCTGTCTGTGAGTGCCGCCACAGCTATCGTCTTCAAGTGGGCGGTCTTGTGCCCAAGCCGCTCGCGCTCTCCCTCCAGGAAATCAAGTGAGCTTCTCCACCGCCTCCCCCACACAATACTCACTACACACTGCCACTGCCACCCATCCATCTCGTTCTCAACCTCTTCCCGCCCATCTGTTTTCATGCATGCATTCGTCACGCCTCCTCCTCACCAACCGACCCCTTTTGACTGTGCTCTACTATGTCCTCCCATCCCTGCAAGTGTCCCTTGTGCCAAATCTCCCGTTTTCATGTTGGCATAACTTCAAACCATTCAGCCATCCATCTCGCTCCTCCTCATCCTCCCATCTCGTTTCTTGCTGGGCGCTGCAGGTCCATGCCAGCTGAGACCATCGTGGCGACCATGATGGTGAGCCCATCCGCACTGCTTGCTTGTACCATGGATAGTCACTTACAGCCGCGAAACACTGCATGCCGCCTGGTCTCCTCCATGCCGCCTGGTCTCCTCCATGCTGGCTGGTCTCCTCCATGCCATGCTCCACCGGCACCACCTTCTGCATCGTCTGTTCTTGTTCACCTTGGATTCGGACTATCTTCCTCCTCACTTCGATTGCTTTAAGTTGACCCCTGGTCTGTCTCGCGCTCTCTCTCTCCCCACTTCTTCATCGGCCCTCGTCCCATGTGATCCCCCCCCCCACAGTGTGCCGGCAACAGGCGCACGGAGATGAGCACTAGGCGCAAGGTCAAGGGCGTGGGATGGTCCCAGGCTGCCATTGGCAATGGTGAGACCCATGCCGTCCTGCCATGCATTTATGACCGCCCTGCCATGCATTTATGACCGCCCTGCCATGCATTTGTGGCCGCCCTGCCATGCATTTATGGCCGCCCTGCTCCATGGCAGCTTGCATTTCCCTTACAAAGCCATGAGCTATACCCACTCACTTCTGCCCCTTCCTACCCCTCTCCCTCCCCCTCACCACCAATCTCACCCCCCCATACCCCCACTCACTGTCCCCATCTCTTCCCCCTCCCCCACTCCCCCCCCCCTGGACCAGCCACGTGGACGGGGGTGCGTCTATCGCACGTGCTGCAGCTAGCAGGAGTAGACCCGCGCTCCACGCGCACCTCGGCAGGCGGCAAGCACGTGGAGTTCACCAGCGTTGACATCTGTCCGGTGTGTGCCGGCGTTGCTCCCTCACCCCTGGCCCGCTCTCACACTCTGTGAGGTGATACCTGATGCAGAGCGGTGCAGCCCGGTGGACAGGGTTGAAATGACCCTTCGAACCTCTCTATTCGCGGTGCAATTTTCCTGCTAGCCTCCTCTTCCATTGATTGGTGTGCTTCGGCTGTTTCACCTGCTTCTCTCACATCTCCCTGCTGTTCACTTTCTTCTCTCATTCCTCTTCTGTTCTCGGCGTCCCTCTTACCTTCCCCTCTATATCCATCCCTCTGCCGTCCCTTAGGAGGAGAAGGGAGGTCCCTACAAGGCTTCTCTGCCGCTCATCCATGCCTCTTCGCCTGAGCAGGATGTGCTCCTCGCCTACAAGATGAATGGAGAGGTAAACGTCTTCAGTTATCGGCCTCCCTTTCCCCACCCCCCACCCCCCCCACCCTCACCCCCACCACAAGCCCCCCTCTCTCTCTTTCGCTCTCACTCTCGCTCTCTCTCTCGCTCTTGAACATTCGTTTCCCTGCTCAGCCTCCCCTTCCCCCTTAACCTCCTCTCACTCCTTTGTCTCAATAGGCACTCTCCCCATCTGCATCCCTCTCATTTTGCTCAGTTCCCTGACATGCTCCCCCGCCCCTCAGGACCTCACTCCAGACCACGGCTTCCCTCTGCGCATCGTTGTTCCCGGGGTCATCGGGGCGCGTTCGGTGAAGTGGCTGGATCGCATTGACGTGCTGTCGCACGAGTCGCAGGGCTTTTTTATGCAGCGCGACTACAAGATGTTCCCGCCTAACATCGACTGGCACAACATCGAGTGGAACACCCGCCGCCCATCATGGACTTCCCTATCCAGGTGAAGGGGAGCAAGCCATGCCATGTTGCCGTGCCTAGCCATGCCATGCCATGATGCCATACCATACCATACCATACTATGCCATGTCATGTCATGTAATGTCTTGCCCCTCTTCCCTGTTTTTTTCACATGCATGTCACGTCTTGTCCTGTGTGTCCTCCATTAGAGTCAGGGCTATATCTCCATGGCGCCAGCCGTGCGGCCTGCTTGCCTAAATCCGTATCCATCCATTCCCCGCCCCTCCAACCCCATCCATGTGCCACCTCTCAGTCCGCCATAACTGAGCCTGCAGTGGGGGACGCAGTGCAGCCAGGTCCTGTGAGTGCTCCCATCGCCCCGGCCCCCACTATGGCTTGCACTCCGCTCATCCCCTCTTCTCCTCTCCTTCTTTTCTCCTGGCACCTCGAGCATTCACGCCCTCATTCCCTTCCGTTTACTCTCCCACTCTCTACGCCGAAAACTCTGGAAGCCTTTCTTGCATCCAATACAACTCCAGCTTCATCAATCCGCCTGTATCCATAATCCACCATCCCCACACCTACCGCTTCCCCTCTCGCGCACTCAACCACTCTTACCTCCCACACCAACCAACCCGACCTACCCCTTTCCCTCCCTTCTTCCATCCCCTGCAGATCACCATTCGCGGGTACGCAGCAGTGGGTGCGGGCGCGGCATCGAGCGGGTGGAGGTGTCAACTGATGGGGGCGCCACCTGCAGGCAGGCCACGCGCCTGCCGCACACCATTGACAACCCGTCCAAGCTCGGGCTGCTGCAGGGGCCAGCAGCAGCAG